AAGGGAAAATGTGACAACAAACATATACTTGTCAATAATAATATTAAACATAAATGGATTAAATGCACCAATCAAAAGACACAGGGTAGCTGAATATATATATATATATATATATATATATATATATATATATATATATATATGTCTGTATATGACCCATATATTTGTGTCTACAAGAGACCCACCTGAGAGCAAAGGATTCACACAGACTGAGAGTGAAAGGATGGAAAAACATTTTTCAGGCAAATGGAAATGAGAAAAAAGCTGGGGTTGTGATACTTATTGCTGATAAAATAGACCTCAAAGTAAAGACCATAATAAGAGATAAGGAAGGCCACTACATAATACTAAAGGGAGCAATTCAACAGAAGATACAACTCTGGTAAACATATATCCACCCAATGCAGGGACACCCAAATACATAAAAAATCTCATGGAAGATATCAAGGGAGAGATCGACAACAATACAATCATAGTAGGGGACTTCAACACACCACTGAAATAGATAAATCCTCTAGACAAAAAAATCAGCAAAGAAAGAGCAATTCTAAATGACACACTAAATCAGATGGACCTAATTGACATCTTCAGAGCAGTTCACCCCAAAGCATGGAATACACGTTCTCTTCAAGTGCACATGGACATTTTCAAAAATAGACCACATATTGGGTCACAAGCAAAGTCTCCCCAAATTCAAAAAGACTGAAATCCTATCAAACATTTTCTCAAACCACAATAGCATAATATTAGAAATGAACTACAATAAAAACATTCCAAAAAAAAAACAAAACACTTGGAAGCTGAATAGCATGCTACTAAACAATAATTGGGTTACCAATGAGATCAAAGAAGAAATTAAAAACATCCTAGAGACTAATGACAATAACACAACATTGCAAATCCTGAGACACAATGAAAGCAGTCCTGAGAGGGAAGTTTATAGCTCTACAGGCCTACCTCAACAAAACAAGAAAATATGGTAATAAATCATCTAACTCAGCAACTCAAAGAATTAGAAAGAGAGCAACAAGTAAAGCCCACAGTGAGCAGAAGAAAAGAAATAATAAAGATCAGAGCAGAAATGAATGACAAAGAGACAAAAAAAAAATCAACAAATCAAAGAGCTGGTTCTTCAAAAGGATAAAAAAGATTCATGAACCTCTAGGCAGGCTCACCAGGGAGCAAAGAGAAAGGACCCAATTAAACAAAATCAGAAATGAAAGAGGTGAAATAACTACAGATCCAACAGAAATACAAAAAAATTGTTTAAAAAATACTATGAACAACTCTATTCTAACAAACTAGACAACCTGGAGGAAATGGACACATTCCTAGAAAAATACAACCTTCCAAAACTTAGAAAGATTCAAAAAATCTCAATAGGCAAATAACTATGGAAGAAATTAAAGCAGTCATCAAAAAGTTTCCAGCAAACAAAAGCCCAGGGCCAGACGCCTTCACAAGGGAATTTTACCAAACATTCAAGGAAGAACTAAACCTATTCTCAGACTATTCCAAAAAATTCAAGAGGAAGGAACACTTCTAAGCACCTTCTAAGAAGCCAATATCATCCTAATAGCAAAACCAGATAAAGGCAATACAATGACAGAGAATTACAGACCAATATCCCTCATGAACATAGATGCCAAAATCCTCAACAAAATTCTAGCAAATCGGATACAGCAGTACATCAGAAAGATCATACACCGTGACCAATAGGATTTATCCCAGGGATGCAAGAATGGTACAATATCTGCACATTAATAAACGTAATACATCACATAAACAAATTGAGAGATAAAAATCATAGAGTCATATCAATTGACACAGAAAAAGCATTTGACAAAATCCAACATCCTTTCTTGATTAAAAAAACAACAACAACTGTCAGCAAGGTGTGAATAGAAAGACCATACCTCAACATAATAAATGCCATATATGACAAACCCACAGCCAACATCATCCTCAATGGGAAAAAACTAATACCATTTCCCCTAAAAACAGGAACAAGACAGGGATGCCCACTCTCACCACTCCTGTTCAATATAGTGCTGGAAGTACTAGCCATTGTTATCAGACAAGAAGAAAAAATAGAAGGAATCCAAATTGGAAAAGAAGAAGTAAAACTGTCCTTATTTGCAGATGACATGGTACTGTATATAGAAAACCCTAAAGATTCCATCAAAAAATTATTAGACCTAATAAATGAATTTGGCATTGTAGCAGGATACAAAATTAATGCCAAGAAATATATGGCATTTCTATACACCAATAGTAAACTTACAGAAACAGAGACTAAAAAAGCAATCCCATTTACCATCGCACCAAAAATATTGAGATACCTAGGAATAAACTAAACTAAGGAAGTAAAAGACCTATACATGGAAAACTACACGACACTGAAAAAATAGATAGAGGAGGACATAAACAGTTGGGAGAACATACCATATTCATGGATTGGTAGAATCAACATAAATCAAAATGTCCATAATACCCAAAGCAATCTATAAATTCAATGCACTTCCCATTAAAATACCAATGGCATATTTCACAAACTCTTCAAAAATTCATTTGGAATAAAAAAGGCCCCAAATAGCTGCAGCAATCCTGAGAAAGAAGAACAAAGTAGGTGGGATCTCAATACCAGATTTCAAGCTGTATTACAAAGCCACTGTTCTTAAAACAGCCTGCTACTGGCACAAGAACAGACACATAGATCAATGGAATAGAGAATACAGAAATCAACTCAAACCACTATGCCCAATTAATATTTGACATAGGAGGCATGAACAAAATGGAGTCAAGACAGTCTCTTCAATAAATGGTGTTGGGAAAATTGGACAGATACATGCAAAAAAATGAAATTAAATCACCAACTTTCACCATACACAATAAACTCAAAATGGATACAGGACTTAAACATAAGAGGGGAAACCATAAAAATACTAGAGGCATCCACAGGCAGCAAAAATCTCAGACATATGCCAAAAGAACTTCACTGATACTGCCCCTAGGGCAATGGAAGCTAAAAAAAATAAATAAATAAACAAATGGAACTACATCAAAATAAAAAGCTTTTTTACAGCAAAAGAAACTATCAGCAAAACAAGAAAGCCCACTGTATGGGAGAACATATTTGTAAATATTATCACTGATAAAGGTTTAATCTTTACCATCTACAGGCAGCGTATACAACTTAATAAAAGGAAGATACATGATCCAATAAAATAAAAAAACGGACAATGGACCTAAATAGAATCTTTTCAAAAGACAGATGGAAGGCCAAGAGACACATGAAAACATGCTCAAAGTCACTAATTATCCGAGAGATGCAAATCAGAATGACAATGCGGTACCACCTCACACCTGTCAGAATGGCTATCATCAACAAATCAATAAATGACAAGTGTTGGTGAGGATGCAGAGAAAAAGGAACACTCGTGCACTGCTGGTTGGAATGTAGACTGGTTCAGCCACCGTGGAGGTCAGTATGGAGTTTCTTCAAAAAACTGAAAATGGAACTCGCATTCGACCCAGTAATCCCACTCCTAGGAATATATCCTAAGAAACTGGAAACACCAATAAGAAAGGATATATGCACCCCTATGTTCATAGTGGCATAATTTACAATAGCTAAGATTTGGAAACAGCCAAGGTGGCTCTCAGCAGATGACTAGATCCACACAATGGAATACTACGCTGCCATCAAAAAGAAGGAATTCTCATCATTTGCAGCAACCTGAATGGAATTGGAGAACATTATGTTAAGTGAAATAAGCCAGTCAATGAAAGAAAAATACCACATGATTTCACTCATTTATGGATAACAGATCATTATAAACTGTTGAACAAAAAGATAGATACAGAGATTAAAAAAGCATCAAACAGAATGTCAAATTACAGCAGAAAGGTTAGTGAGAGGTGGGGGAGATAAGAGATCAACCAAAGGATTTGTATGCATGCATATAAGCATATACAATGGACGCAAAACTCTGGAGGGGAGGGCATGTATGGAAGAGGGGTGGGGGCAATGGTAAGATATGTACACATATAATACCTTGATTAAGAAATGATTAATAAAATATTATATAACTTAATTTATATGTTGAATCTAAAAAACAAAACAGAAACAAACTCATAAATACAGAGAACAGGCTGATGATTGCCAGAGAGTGGGACTGGGCGAAAAAGGAGAAGGGGATTAAGAAATACAAATCTACAGTAGTAAAATAAGTCACAGCATGTAATGTGCAGCACAGAGAATCCTAAATATAAAAGCCCAGCAACCGAACCATGGAACAACCAGAACGACTGGTTGAGCAGCCGCTAGGATGCACACTGACCACCACAGGCCAGACGCTCAATGCAGGAGCTGCCCCCAGATGATCAGTACACTCCCATAGTGGGAGTGCTGCTCCGCTGACTGGGATGAGCAGCTGCCCCCACAGTGGGCCAATCCCAGCAGGCCACACCCCACACCAGTGCACAAGTCCATGCATCGGGCCTCTAGTAGAGTCAATAATATTGTAAGAACTATATATGGTGACAAATGGTATTGTGGTGACCACTTTGTAAGGTATATAAGTGTTGAATCACTGCATTGTATACCTGAAACTATTATTGTATGTTAACTATAATTTAAAATATTTCCTAAATGGGGGGGGGGGAATCATTGCTGGATCACTGAATTTGAAACCCCTTATGGATGACTAAACAGACTTAGGTTAAGTGATTAATCCCAAACTCAAACAGTGAGTTACTGAAGTTAAGGGTTTAGACTCATGTTTTTATCCTTTCTCCAGTATTTTGTCCACTGTGCAGAGCTGCTTCCCCCTGTAACTTTGCTTCTTCATGCTTTCCCTTTTCAAGGGAAGTATGCTAGGAAAGAAACACTGAGTCAGCTAAGCAGTGCCAAAATAGTAACTCAAAACATTTAGTGAGCCCATTATAACTAGATGGCTTTTGTCAGTGAGCAATAGAGCAAGTCAGTCTTTTCTTACCTTCAGCAAGAACACACAACGGGTAAATCGGCATCCAGAGGGTCTGACTGAGCCATTTCAGGAAAGCATAGGAAATTCCTATGACTGATAACATGCTATTAGTGTACCTGAAAGGAAATAAGGAACTTATAAGCATCATTTGCTGACATCTGGGAAATAAAAGGATGAAATAGTTTAGTATGTCATTCAATGCACAGATAAAACTGGAAATGAGTATAGGGTCCATACTTTATTTTCTGTTACTTAAGCAGAAGAGGTTTTAAAAATGGGGGAAGGGGAACCATGCCAGTCGGGCTTATGTCATGAGGTGGATCGAGCAAACCATCAAGTCTCCGTGACAAGTGACTTCACTTTCACTCAGAAGCCAACCAAGCCCACTGCATGCAACAGGCAGCTGGGTTGTTTGCTTGATTGCTTTTCTCCACAAACAAAACTTGTATATACTAGGGAATGACTTTTAAAAATAAAAATATGACTTCCAAGTTCTATTGGCATCCCTGTGCTTATGTAGCCATGCCATCTTAAAGAACTGTCCTGAGAAGTTTGTTTGGGTTACCGTAGGTAGTTTAAAACCTTCTTTTATTTTGTAATAAGTGAAGTGGTCTAGATCTTTGTATCTCTCTGTTCTCTGAATAGGCCAGTGGTGCTCAAGTTTAAGCAAACTTCAAAATCACCCAGAGGGATTTCTAAGGCCCCAAAGTGTAAGACGCAGAGGGTGCAAGGTAGAGCCTGAGAACTTATGTTACGAACTACTGGAATAGGCCGTGAATACATATGGCCCAACAAAATCCAAAATCCTGAAAAGCATGGTGAAAAGTAAATCATTCTCTCACTTCAGGACCCTATTCCATTCCTCAAAGGCAATGACCAACACTGATTTGTTATATAGTCTTTCAGAAATATTTTTTGCATATGCTTATCTATGTGTATATGTATTATATATACCATTTACCAATACTGCAAGTCCTCACTAAACATGGCATATTATCAAACTTTCTTATCTGTACCAATCTAAGTGAAAATTGTATATCACTATCTTCTTTTAAATTACAACAGTAGGTGCCGAAACTGGTTTGGCTCAGTGGATAGAGCATTGGTCTGTGGACGGAGGGGTCCCATTTTTTATTCCCGTCAAGGGCATGTACATTGATTGTGGGCACATCCCCAATAGGGGGTGTGCAAGAGGCAGCTGGTTGATGTTTCTCTCTCATCCATGTTTCTAGCTCTCTTTCCCTCTCCCTTCCTCTCTGTAAAAAATTAATAAAATATATTTTAAAAATAAAGTAAATTACAACAGTAGGTATGTTTATACCTACTTGATGAAGTGCAGTGTATCTTTTTTCCTTTGTTGCTTGTGTTTCTTGTGTCACATCTAAGAATCCATTACCAAATCCAAGATCACAAAGATTTACCCCTATGTTTTCTAAGTGTTTTGTAGTTTTAGCTCAAACATTTAGTTTTTTATCTATTTTGAGTTAATTTTTTATATATGGTATGAGGTAAGGGTCCGACTTCATTCTTTTGCATGTGGATATCCAGTTGTCCCAACATCTTGTTGAAAAGACTATTGAATGGTCTTGACACCCTTGTCAAAAATCAACTGACCAGGACACCTTTCTCTGGACTATCCATTCCATGTCATGATATATCCTTATGCCAGCATCACACTCTAGATTATTGTTGCTTGTAGTAAGTTTTAAAATTGGGAAGTGTGAACCCTCCAATTACGTTTTTCTTTTTCAAGATTGTTTTGGCTATGCTGGATTTTGAGTTTCCATATGATCTTTAGGATCAGCTTCTCAATTTCTGAAAAGAAGCCAACTGGGATTCTGAGGGAGATTTCACTAAATCTGTAGATCTACTTGGAAAGTGTTGCTCTCTAACAATATTAAGTCTTCAATCCACAAACATGGGATATCTTTCAATTTATTTTTATCTTAATTTATCTCAACACCATTTTATAGTTTTTGGTGTAAAGATTCTGTACATCTTTTGTTAAATTTACTCCTACTTTATTTTTGATGTTACTGTGAATGAAATTATTTTCTTAATTTTACTCTAAGTCATTGCAAGTGTATAGAATATAATTGATTTTTGTATAATGATTTTGTATTCTACAAACTTGCTGAACTAGTTTATTAGTTTAAATATTTTTGGTGGATTCCTTATAATTTGTGTATAAATATATATATATATATATATATATATATATACACACACACACACACACACAAACTTGCTGAACTAGTTTATTAGTTTAAATATTTTTGGTAGATTCCTTATAATTTGTGTATATATATATATATATATATATATATATATATATATTATGCAGATGAAGATGTCATCGCTAATAAAAACAATTTTCCTCCTTCCTTTTCAATATGGATGCCTTTTATATCATTTTCTTGGCTGTGAGGTTGAGAAATTTTCCTAGTCTTGCTTTTTAAAAAGTCATTCTAGGATAAGTTTGGAAGATAATTGTACCCTCATTTTATAGAAGAAAAAAATTTAGTTTTAAAAGGTTACTCTGGAATTTTACTCCTACATTAAGAGAAATGAAAATATGTGCATAAACATCTTGCACATGGATATTCGCAGTAACAATCCAAATGGACAAAGTGTGGTATATCAATATGAGGGAATATTATTCAAACCATAAAAAGGAATGAAATACTAATAGATGTTACAACATGGTTGAACCTTGAAAATATTATGCTAAGTAAAAGTAACCATTCACAAAAGACCACATGTTGTATGACTATTTATCTGAAATGTTCAGAATAGGCAAATCTGTAGAGGAGCTTGGAGAAGGAGGGAATGGGGAGTGACTGCTGATGGGTTTGGAGTTTCTTTGGGGGGGTGATGAAAATGTTCTCAAATTAGATAGTGGCAATGGTTGCATATGTTTCTGAATACATTAAAAACCAAATTTTATAATTTTAAAAGGGTAAATATTAAGGTCTGTAAATTATTTCAATGCTGTTATTTAAAAAAAAAAAAAAAAGGTTAAGTGACTTGCCTAAAATCATAGAGCAAGTCATAGTGGAAGTGGGGTCATCCTGAGATCTTCTCATTTTATGTCCAAAGTCTTTCCATGACAGCCTGAGGCCACTCCCAATGCACAAGTCACTGCTTTCTGGGATGGGTCTCCTGAGCTTATCTGAGCCTGAATCAGCTCAGAAGAGTCAGGCATCCCACGGAATGATACATTGGAAAGCCCAGCTGAGGCTCTGTGTCTCACAAACAGGAAGTCATGGGCTACGAAAGTCCATGAAGTTTGTCTCAAGTCTAAAAATACCTTATCAGGAGAGACCCAAGATCTAGCAACCGGAGCAGCATGGCCAAGCCTTGTGGGGTGCGCCTGAGCGGGGAAGCCCGCAAACAGGTGGGTGGCTTCAGGCAAAATCCTTTCCAGGAGGCTGAGGAATTCCTCCACACATTCTTTTTTTTTTTTTTTTTTAATATATTTTATTGATATTTCACAGAGAGGAAGAGAGAGGGATAGGGAGTTAGAAACATCGATGAGAGAGAGTCATCGACCAGCTGCCTCTTGCACACCCCCTACTGGGGATGTGCCCGCAACCAAGGTACATGCCCTTGACCGGAATGGAACCTGGGACCTTTCAGTCCGCAAGCCGACGCTCTATCCACTGAGCCAAACCGGTGCCAGCCCTCCACACATTCTTGCCACAGATCATACACCTGAATCAGCTCTTGCAAGAGGACTCCCTCAATGTGGCTGACCTGAGGTCCCTATTCCAGACCCTCCACTCAAAGATAATGAGATGGAAACAGATAAGCAGGAGAAGAAAGAATCCCTACGTGCAACTTTCTCCCTGGGAATGAGAAGCTCTTGGCCCTACTTGCCCTGGTTAAGCCAGAAGTCTGGACTCTCAAAGAAAAATGTATTCTGGTGATCGCGTGGATCCAGCACCTGATCCCCAAGATTGAGGATGGAAATGACTTTGGGGTAGCAATCCAGGAGAAGGTTCTGGAGAGGGTGAAGACCAAAGTAGAAGCCTTCCAGACAACCATTTCCAAGTATTTCTCAGAACGTGGGGATGCTGTGTAATGGATTACCGGGCCTTAGTGCATGAGCGAGATGAGGCAGCCTATAGGGAGCTCAGGGCCATGCTGCTGGACCTGAGGGCCTTCTATGCTGAGCTCTATCATATCATTAGCAGCAACCTGGAGAAAATTGTCAACCCAAAGGCTGAAGAGAAGCCATCTATATACTGACCCCAGGGATAAAAGGAAATAAATTACCAATACTTTGTGTGGATAAAAAATAAAAAAAAATAAAAAAACTTATCAGTTAAAAAATGAGAAATATTTTGCTAAGTTCTATAAATCAAAAATTGTAGTCATTTTAATTCAACAAAATATTCTATAATTTGCTTTAGGGCTCAACCCATTATTTAACAGTATTTTAACTCAGCCAAGTAACTGACCATGTAATACAGGACTTACATAACCTCAGCTAATTTGTTATCTCCCCCATACCCAGACCTTTCAAGCAGGAGGGGCCGTTCTCATTTGTGAAAGCTGAGGTGGCAGTTAGGACAACCCTCAAAGGGAGCCAGTGAGCAGGCTGTCTACCCCACTGCCGCTGGAGATGGACGAGGCTCATCTCCTTGCGGAAGTGTCAGAACTAGAAGGAAACAAGATGACCTAGTGTGCAAGCAAGGGTTCTTACCCTGAGGCCTAAGGATTCTCAAGGAGTCCACAAAAGAACATCAGTCATGTGATCCCCCTGGAATCGCATATGAAAATGTATGTGGAGGTACATTTTTCCCCCCTCAGGAAGATGAGGGCCTATATTAAAAAAATTTCTTGAATTCTTGATGGTATGCCACGACTGCTGCTGGATACGGCACTGCTGTGCTCCTGTCACACCACGGTGGGATTGCATGTCTTTGGTACGCCCATCATGGTCAGCAATAGAAATACATTTCAATATCAAGATAAAATAATTGTTTTCTCTCTCACTCCAAGTAATCAAACCTAAGCAGCGATTCACGGTTTCCCTGAAGAAAGCAATCTGGCTCTCTTTAAGAGACTATTTTGCCTCCTTACCTGACCATGTCCAGTAGATTCCAGAAGATGAATAAAACACACACGACATATTTCCCTTGGACTTCCTCTTGACTGGTGATCACCACAAACAGGATGATGATTCTCTCTGTGAGCTAACAACGACAAACCATCAGAGTCAAGAATTAGGTTTGGCTCAGTGGATAGAGCGTCGGTCTGCAGACTGAAAGGTCCCAGGTTCTATTCTGGTCAAGGACATGTACATTGGTTGCGGGCACATCCCCGGTAGGGGGTGTGCAAGAGGCGGCTCTTGCTCTCTCATCAACGTTTCTAGCTCTATATCCCTCTCCCTTTAACACCACATGACCTCACTCATTTGTGGACAATAAAAAACATTATAAACTGATGAACCAAAAGATAGATATAGAGACAGTAAAGCAACAAGCAGATTGTCAAATTACAGTGGGGAGGGGAGGAGGATCTGGGGGAGATAATAGATCAACCCAAGGACTTGTATACATGCATATAAGTACAACCAATGGACATAAAACTCTGGGGAGGGAGGGGATATGTGGGAGGGAGAAAGGGGGGCAAAAAAAATCAAAAAAAATATGTAAAAATAAATAAAATAAAATAAAATAAAAAAATCAATAAAATATATTTTAAAAAAAGAATTAAGATCATCTATTAAGCATGTAATTTTCTAATTAAAACAAAAACAAAAACCAGAGTTCCTCTTAAAAGTAATCTTTAACTAGAAACATGTATCCTAAATGGTTAACATGACCTCTGAAGCAGTAGGGATATGGGTGAGTTTCATTTCCTCTTTTTTTTTTCTTTTTTTTTTCTTTCCTCTTTTTTGTCCTGTATTCTCCAAATCATATATAATAAATAAAAAGAGAACATATTTTATCTGAACCAGGATATCTCCCTTCCTGTAATACATGCACACATGTTTTTATGCGCTTTGGCTAGCTTGTATTGCGTGTCTGCTGTGCATTAGATGCTGACAGGTTATGAAAGCATGGCCCTCGCTCCAGAGGGTAGCAGCAGCAGCAAGAGAGGGTGAGGCAGTAACTAGAACACAGCGTGAGCAATGCTGCCACCCAACGTGCAATGCCCAGGTACACAGGTGAGGAAGATGCCCGTCTGGGGAAAGGGTGAGATTTATAAAGAAAGGCAACACTGCAGTCGGGTCTTGAAGAAGAGGTGGGAGTTTTGAGGTAGACCAGCGAGGAAAAGGCCCATCCCAGGCCAAGGGAGCGGCCTCAGCAAAGAGGCAGAGACGTGACAACGCAGGGGGCCCTGGGGAGAATGAGACCCCTGGGGGCTGGAGGGTGCACAGAAGGGAATAATAGGAGAGAAAACGGAATTGTGTTGGGGGCTGGGTTCTCAAGGGTTTTGAATGACAGACCAAGAATTTTTAATTTCATCCAACAAGGGAGCCATCATAGCTTTATTTTCTTGGGGAAACGGGGGGGACAGGAGGAGATGGGGAAGTAGTACAGTTCTAACTCTCATAAGCTAGTGGCAAATGAAAAGAATTCAACATACTCATTTACTTCAAGACAGTAAGCATTTACAAATCATTGAGAATTCACATACTTACGGGTTAGGTGTAATTACTGGCCTCAAAAAATGCATGCCTCTTTCCTAATCTAAGTATAACGTGCCTTTTTATGTTGTAGTAATATCCCCTATCCAGTCTGCATTTTTATGTGTTTAATAGGACATTTTACTTTTCTTTCAATGGTCAAAAGGAAATTATACTGGAAATTGAGGGAGCCATATTAGTGATAAAAGTAAGGGCAGGGTTGCTTTATACTTTTCAATAGCTGTCTTTATTTTTAAAGCAGCTCAGGGAGAAAAGGCTGGGATAATCTATGACTTAGAATCATGGGCTGTTAGTCCTGGAAAGTCACTTAGTGCAGAGAAATCCAAGATTTGCCAACAGTGGTCACATGATCAGAAGTCCACTTGTATAACCTCTATCAGAATGTTTATGACTACAGCAGTGAGTCAAGAGGGTCCCTGCTGAGCTATGGGCTTTAGATATGATTCAAACCTTAGTCAAACAACTAGCGCTATCTGCACAGCTGTTTTTCATTTGTCAGCCTGTTTCTTTTTTTTTTTTTTTTTTTTTTTTTTAAATATATTTTATTGATTTTTGTACAGAGAGGAAGGGAGAGAGATAGAGAGTTAGAAACATCGATGAGAGAGTCATCGATCAGCTGCCTCTTGCACACCCCCTACTGGGGATGTGCCCGCAACCAAGGTACATGCCCTTGACCGGAATCGAACCCGGGACCTTTCAGTCCCCAAGCCGACGCTCTATCCATTGAGCCAAACCGGCCTCGGCATTTGTCAGCCTGTTTCTTGATTTAATTTAATTCTAGTTCTATGAATTATATTTAACTGCAATGATAATCGCTGAATGACCCAAGCTTGGCAGCCTTCAGATACAAGATCTTTAGCAACAAACAATTTAGGAACTACCTAAGCTTATGTTCAATTGGTGCCTGCTAATTAGGAAAATCATCCAGTTTTTGAAAAAAATCTCAAGATGCACACACATGAATGCATACACAAAACATATATTTCTTTTTGTTGTTGCTATTAATCCTCAGCTGGGGACACTTTTTCCATTGCTTTTCAGAGAGACGGGAGAGAGGGAGAGAAGGAGGAAGGAAAGGAGGAGGAGAAGGAAGAGGAGAGAAGAGGAGAGAAAAAGAGAAACATTGATATGAGAGAGATACATTCACTGGTTGCCTCCTGCACACACCCTGCCAGGGGTGGGAAGTGAACCCACAACCCAGGAACCTATCCTTGGCCGGGAATCTAATCCCCAACTCTTTGATTCAGGGACCAAAGCTCTAACCACTTAGCAACACTGGCCAGGGCAAAAAAAACACCACCACATATTTCTAATTACAGGGTTGACCACTGAAGAAAATATCTTCAAAAAGAGAGACGGGAGCTGCACAATGATATTCACCCTGTTCAAAATGATCACTTGATGGTTTGTGACATGTTAAGTGAGAGAATCCCAACTATATAGAAATCAATAATCAGCATGCCCCCAAAAGCACACAAACCACATGCATGCATGTGGACATGTGAAGATCCCCCTGACAATGTCAGTCTAATTAAAGTATTTGATGTTTATTCTAACTTGACCATTCAATGGCAATACAATGGAAGAATTTAGGTGGAGATAGTCTTAAACTGATGTCAGCATTTATTGCTTACTTTATGCCAGGTTCTAATTATAAATCCCCTCATTTTTATTTTTTAAAATATATTTTATTGATTTTTTACAGAGCGGAAGAGAAAGGGACAGAGAGTTAGAAACATCGATGAGAGAGAATCATCAATCAGCTGCCTCTTGCACACCTCCTACTGGGGATGTGCCTGCAACCAAGGTACATGCCCTCGACCGGAATCGAACTTGGGACCAGTCTGCAGGCCGATGCTCTATCCACCGAGCCAAACCAATTTCGGCCCCTCATTTAATTTCCCTAACAAGCCTAAGAAGTAAGTGCTATCATCTGCCTCTGTATTTCCTAGCGTGAAGGTGACCTACCTAAAGACCTGGAATCAAAATCTCAACAATGTGATTCTAAATCCCTCACTCTGATACATGTCATCTTTGTTCCTTTATGGGCTACCCCTGTGCCTGTTCTCCAGGTCATAGTCTGTTCTTTTTAAAAGCCTCTCCTCAAAAGTTAAACCTTAAAGCAAGAACTTTGATTTTCTAAATCAACACCAAAACAATTTTGAGGAACAGACTTTAAATGTTTTTCTTTCCTTTACATACAACCATTTCATCAGTTATTTGGAGCTTTACATTTGGGAGAACTTAGCACTTTGTCATTTTAAAACAAATCCTGTGAGAACATGACTGATTACTAATGAATGGTCTCGTAATGTTTAGAGCAACTCAAACAGGTATAATAAAAAATTCTATAACCTAGCCCCAATTAAGCATGGTGGTAATGTAGTCTGCTCAAAAGTATGGTAACTATAAAAAATATATATTTTGCATTTTTATATTCTATTGGGGAATCTTAAACTCCAGGTTAAGCAATGACTAAACCTAAGCTATTACTTTATACATGGCAGCTAGTACTTTAGCTATAAACTGTGGAAGGCGGTAAAATGATACTTCAACTATAGGGAGAATTTCCAGAATCTTAAAAAATAAGTTGGCTTTAGCCCCAAGGACTATTTCTTTTTTTTTTCTTTAAGTGTTAACCAGTCTATTAGATACATTGATGGTTTTTTGTTTTTTTGGGTTTTTTTTAATATATTTTATTGATTTTGTACCAAGAAGAAGGGAGAGAGATAGAGAGTTAGAAACATCGACGAGAGAGAGTCATCGATCATCTGCCTCTTGCACAGCCCATACTGGGGACGTGCCCGCAACCAAGGTACATGCCCTTGACCGGAATCGAATCTGGGACCTTTAGGTCCCCAAGCCGACGCTCTATCCATTGAGCCAAACCGGTTTCAGCCTTAAGGACTATTTTACTTTTTCAATCCTATGAACTTTTGTTGAGAACTTCATATATACACCCTTATCTGTTTAAAAACCACCAATTACTTTCTTCTATAAAAAACATTTAAGTAGCCGAAACCGGTTTGGCTCAATGGATAGAGCGTCGGCTTGGGGACTGAAGGGTCCCGGGTTCGATTCCGGTCAAGGGCATGTACCTTGGTTGCGGGCACATCTCCAGTAGGGGGTGTGCAAGAGGCAGCTGATCGATGACTCTCTCTCGTCGATGTTTCTAACTCGCTATCTCTCTCCCTTCCTCTCTGTACAAAATCAATAAAATATATTTTTTAAAATTTTTAAGTAATTCTAGTTTTATTATTTTGTTTACTCATCATTCAATAGATATTTATTAAGTGTATTGTTCTGGGTCCAGGGGGAGGGTAGCTATGAACAAGACCAAGACACAACCCTCATGGTATTGACATCCCACTTATTGAGAGAGATAGTAAACAGAGGTAGCATAATAGTTAAGAGTTCAGAATAAATAGCCTAAATCCAGATCTTTCCTGCACCAATCAAAATTTATGTCATCATGGGTACTTTAACTTTTGTGTTCAGTGGTTTTACTGGAGATGATAATCAGTATTATATAGCAAATAT